GAGGGGCGGGCTATAAATAAAAATTTATTATTATTATTATTATAACCCCCTGCTTGTTCCCTCCTCAATATAACATCCCTTCAAATATTTAAACACGGCTATCATATCACCTCTCAGCCTTCTCTTCTCCAGGCTAAACATCCCCAGCTCCCTAAGTCGTTCCTCATAGGGCTTGGTTTCCAGACCCTTTATCATTTTAGTCGCCCTCCTCTGGACACACTCCAGTTTTTCCACATCTTTTTTGAATTGTGGTGCCCAGAACTGGACACAGGATTCCAGGTAAGTCCTGACCAAAGCAGAATAGAGTGGCACTATTACTTCTCTTGATCTAAACACTATACTTCTATTGATGCAGCCTAAAATTGCATTGGCCTTTTTAGCTGCTGCATCACACTGTTGACTCATGTTCAACTTGTGGTCCACTAGGACTCCTAGATCCCTTTCACACATGGTCTCATTCAGCCAGGTGTCCCCTATCATATAGCTGTGCTTTTTGTTTTTCTGCCCCAAGTGCAGTCCTCCGTGTTAAATTTCATTTTGTTAGCTTTGGCCCAGCTTTCTAGTCTGTTCAGGTCATTTTGAATTTTGATTTGATTCCTCTCCTCCATATTAAATATATTAATCAGCTCATCTGTGCCAGGACATTTGTACAGTTGTCCCTCCATTCTTGCGGAATTGAGATCTACATCCCTCACCTATCTGTAGACGGCGAATGGAGGGACACAAAATGGGGCACGCGCCCATGGGCATGCACCTTCATTCAAACTATGGAGCTTGAATATACACAATTTTCCATTCTCACGGGGGGGGGGGGGGTCCGGAACAGATGCCCCACAAGAATGGAGGGTGAACTGTACTACCACTCAGCTACTGTTTTTTAATATCCACATGGAAGTTACTATCAGTGCTTGTATTTTTGTATATTAATTGTTACCAAGTACAACCTCAGAAGAGAGCCTGCGTGGCATAGTGGTTTGGGCATTGGACTATAACTCTGGAGACAAGGGTTCACTTCTCAGCTCAGCCATGAAACCTACTGGATGATGTTGGGCAAGTCACATGCTCTCAGCCACAGGGGAAGGCAATGGCAAACCTCCTTTGAACAAATCTTGCCAAAAAACAAAACAAAAAACCATGACCTTAGGGTTGCCATAAGTCAGAAGAACAAAAACGCCCTCACAGGACATGAATGAGCTGGTACATGTTCTCACTCTACATGCCACTGAAGAATCTTGTGACCTTGGAAACAGAATGCTTTAGGAAAACTGGAATCAATAAAACACAATGAAACAGAACTCTCTAAAAGGGGATTTTTTTTTATTGAACATAATCAAGATATTCAGAAGAATTGTTTTGGCAAATAGGAAACACTTTGGTATAGCTTCATAAATGGCAAACAGTACATGCAAAATACAAATGGCTAATAACAAAATGTCGCTGCTTTAGGATGGGGAGATATCAACCTAAATGGGGCAAAAGGCTGCAAGAGTCTGGAATGGAGCAATGTGCAGTTGTAGGGTTGCTAAGAGGAGGGACAGAGGAGAAATAAAGAGGTTCAAAAGTGACACACAAAGACATACACACACCACAGAGATAAAAGGGAGCTGCAAGTTCTCTCTGAAAGATAGAAGCTGGCATCCTGTTCAGCAATAATGAGATCATAAGGTGGACTTACAATTCAGTAACTGCTAAGGATTCACATTTCTAATTGGGAATGGCCATGGAGTTTATCACACAGGGAAAACTGGAAGTTTAAGTGGGTCAGATCCCATGGTTATCCAGCGTATTAGGCACAATCGCGTGAATGGTTTTCACACAATGTCGCACGCAAACCACTTAGAATCCAAACAGAAAGTGACATGAATCAGGGAATAGTCATTTTCAGGAAAGTACCATGTTCTCATTTCCAATTAATTCACAAATTTGCTTTCTTTGTGCAATTGCTTTAGTGTGAAAGCTATTTGCAGGATTCTCCCCGTTTTTGTGCTTGTTGTCAGATTTCCCATGGTTCTTTGCTGGTTTGCTGTGCTTTGTTGTGTTGAGAAGGCCGAGAGAGACACAGCCTTTTATGATTTAGCCAGGGCTCTTAAAGGATCAGCAGGCATACACACACACACACACACACACACAGAGAAACAGCTTGCTTCTCTCCTTTGCACAGCTCTCTCCCCTTCTCCAGCCTTCCCCATTATCCAGGTCTCAGATAGGAACAGCTGGTGAGGAAGGCAGGGATGCAATGAGAGCTAGAGAGAAGTTTTCTCTTTCCTTTCCTATATCATTTGGGTAATGTTTTGTTCTTTTTACTCAGGTTGGATACCATTTCTTGGAAATTAAAGGCAGTACAGTATATTTTTATAAATAAAATTGTGTAAATAAAATTATTTCTCTAGGTGATTTCTAGCAACGCAACTACTGCTTCTGTGTGCATGTGCAAAAAAATTTATTTCCAAACCATCAACGGGATTTGTCTGCATCTGTGTAAAAACCAAATGTGCTTTCTACTCACTTTCTTGTGCTTTTAACATGTTGTTGTGCTCTGCATGTGAAAATCATCTGCACATTTGCATGCTTTTCTGGGATATGGACACTTTAACCATTTTCAGGATGGAAGCACATAGGTCCCTGTGTGATAAACTCCTATGTGTGACCCCAAAAAACTCTCTTTCCAGAGTGGCAGAGCCATGATCAAAATATATCCGAGGTCCAGCAGATCAGGGTGCTGACAAATTACCTTTGCAGCCCTCTCCTAATCACAACATTCCCTGGAACAAGCAGTTGTGTTATGACCTCTGGCTGTCTGTTCTCCATGTGCCTGATGACCAAGAGGGCACTGAAGACATGATTAGCAAATCTGTTCTTCCTCGTTTTGGGGACCCAGTGCTCTTTCACCACCTCCTGACCCTCCATCTCCTGCCCACACAGTGGCAGCTCCTCTTTGCCCCTGCCCCTCTCTGCTGCCTCTTCCTTTTCCTCTCCTTGGCACAGAGGATGCAGTAGCTGCCCTTCCTTTCTGCTCCATCTTCCCAATGCCTGCTCAGGTGGCAGCCCCTCTTCCTTTTGGCAGCAGGCAGAGAGGAGAGCATGGGCCACTGCTA